GCTATATCGCAGTTGCTATCGCATACAACAACTACAACAACATTGAAGTGAGTGAAGCCTTTGCATGTCTGCTTTTATCTAGGCAACGAATAGGTATCTGATTTTTTTTGTAAATACTATATCTTTTATACGTACATAGGTGCACATGTGTTTGTGGCAAAGAAATAACCGCTCGCACTGTGTGTAGCATAGTGCGAGGCAAGTAAGCGACGTGTATTGCGGTCATATATTATTATGTCCTAGATTGCATTAAAATTGTTTTATTTGCTGCCATTTTTTTTGGCATTAGTATTGTTTTATACCGTTATTATGTATGAGGAGCTGACATAAGTGCGCTTAGGCGGTATATTTTATGTTTGACAGTTTTTGTGAAAACGGCGTATTTTGGTTCATATGTAGTTGCAAAAAAAAAGTATCCTTTCTAAACGCAATTAATTTATGACTCTGAAAACTATAGCAGTGTTGAGCAGGATAATATTATATATATACATTAAATTAATATAGGCCAATGTAAAAAAAAAAATCAGGCATTCTTATTTTAGACATTTTTGTCTATAACAAACCGACGCAAGTGTATCTAGTCTCAATCTAGTATTTTTATCCGTTTTTGGAACGATATTTGATTATAGTAAAATCAAGCATATTTAAAATTATTCATTCATCAAATTTGACCCGGACTGACAAGAAACTTCACACGTACGTTTAACGTTTCGATCGGGTTGCGTGTGCATTTAAAATCAACCAGTCCGGGTCAAATTTGATCAGATGGTATTTTTTTTTTTCAACAGAATTGCATATGAATAGATACTGTTTTATATACATACATACTTACATAGTATTGGTTTAGTAAATCTTAAATTTATTAGTGAATATTAAAGAAAGAAAATGAATTGGAAAAAAATTAGAAATAAAATTCTATAAAAATTAAAAAAAAAAACATTAATTAATTTAAAAAACTAAATACTAACTGGTGAAAAAATATATAAATTAAAAAAATAACAAAATATAAAAACAAAAAAATACATATAAAAAATTAAAAAGTAAGTTATTAAAAAGCAAGTAATTGAAAAATTCAATGAAAATTAAAAAATCAATTAACTAATTAATTGATTAGTTATTTTTTTATTAATTATGATTATTTTTACAGTTTTTAGTTAATTAATAATTTTTTTTAATTCGAACCTTGGCTTGAGTTTTTTTATACTCGTATGCCCTTTTGTGACGGAAAATGACAAACAATGAATAATTTAATTTTTTTTCTTTTAATTCGGGAGAGTTGTAAAATTACAAAAAAAAATCGATATTTTTCGAGTTGGTGTCATTCTGCTAGAAAATATGTTTTCATTTTCTGAACTTCCTACCTTGTATCTTTTTTGAAGCGTATATTAGGATTGTCATGATGTTTGTAACACGCAGAAAGAAGCGTCGAAGACCGTATATAGTATATATATATATACACATATATATAAATGATCTGCGTGACGAGCAGAAACGATTTAGCCATGTACATTTATATATACGCGAACTAGTCCCTAAGTTGTTGAGATATTTACTGAACTGCTGCAGACATTCTTGTCTCTCAAAAAAACAAAAACTATTCATTTGTCGGAATTGCCGGAATCGAACCACTATACCATATTGCTGTCATACAAACTGATCGATCAAAATCAAGTTCTTGCATTAAAAACTTTTTGATTTAAAATGATATCTTATCGAAATTAGATAAACATTATTTTCTAAGGCAGCGCTACAAATTCCGAAGAAGTTGTTCATATTGGACTGCTATATCATATAGCTGCCATACAAACTGATCAATTAAAATCGAGATAAAAATCTTTTTATACCCTTTTAAGCTATAACAAATGCGCTAGTGAAGACTGTTATAGCTGCGGTGCGGCCGAATTTAACGTTTATTCTTTAGACTAGAAGTGATCGGACTCATGCATTTTTTATGCCATTTAAAATACAAAATTACAAAACGTATGAGTATTTATTTTTAATATAATAATTATTATTTCTATTAATATGCAACACATTCATATAAATGTGAATATGCACTAACTGAACTCTATGAGCTTATACATATGCATGTATGTACTACAAGTAAGTAACAAATTTATGCAGATTGCAATAAGGCAGTGCAGCACACTCACTGCCAAACCCGCTACCCTTCAGTCGATTGCTTGCGCACGACGTCGCCGCTGCCACTTTTATAACTTCAACTTTTACTGCAGCTGTTAACGAATTGTTGTTATCGTTCATGTTGTTGTTGTTTTAGCTATTGCTATTACTGTTGTTATTATTGTTGTTGTTGTTGTAGCCTATTGCCGGTATCTTAGTGCCATAAATTTAAAAGCAAACAAAAGTCGCAATAAAAACCGAAAACTAAACAACAAGCAACACAAACTAAAACCATGCCGACCCACAACAACAACGACAACAAGCCAAATAAAATGATAAGTAAACAAATAAGCAATAAAAAAGTGAGAGAAAAAGTAAATAAATAAAAATTAAAATTGTGAAAATTGTAGGAAAACAAAATAAACAGAAAAATAAAAAATAGAAACCTTAATCAAATATTAAAAAAACGAAAAAAAACAATAAAATAAAATTGAATTTCACAAAATAAAACAACCCATAGATATATACATACATATATCTTCACAAATACTCGTATATACCTATATACATATATTTATTGGCACACCGTC